TGTGTGTGTGTGTGTGTGTGTGTGTGTGTGTGTGTGTGTGTGTGTGTGTGTTACCTGTGTAGACTCCAATATGAAGTCTTGCATCAAAAGTCTCTCATCATTGGACAGAGAGACATGCTCCTCCCCCGAGCGTGAAACTATGAAACCCTCAAAGCTCATAGGTTGGTCTTTGCTGGGCCAGTAGACACAGCACTCCCCCTCTTCACTCTGACATAAACAAGAAGAACAGCAGGAGGTGTGTTTATCTACATATGCTGAAAATGTTTTATAAATTCAAACTAAACATCCACCTATTTATTCTGGCTTTCATTTAGAATAATATAATTTATAATTTTAAAGGTTATATTTATCATAATTATACCATATCAATATTATATTGTGTTTTACTAAAACATGTGTGTGTGTGTGTTATACCTGACAGTGTGCGTCCGGCAGGCGAACAACAGTGTGTGTGTTGTGTTCCCAGATCATTCTCCAGAAATCCGCCACCGTGCTGCTCAGAGGAGTCTGGCTCACTATGAACTCTTTACTGTGGTGATGTCCCTGTGAGAACATGAGCAGCTTCAAACTACCAGCACATATTTTACTGATGTGCAAAATAAAAAACAGCAACTACCCTGTAATGAAATCAAATTGTAATAAATACACAGAAGCCAGTTGTGTTACCATGACGTAGGAGGCGTTGATGAAGCCTGTGTTGTTGGTTTCGGAGGCGGTCAGACACACTCTTGATCTCTCCACTGTACAAATACACAAAGATGGAAGAGTTTTACGTTCACTACACTGTTACGATAAGTGTCATGTGACCTTACACCAGTCTACCACTGACTTAAAGATGAGTTTGATGCTTTCATTCCCACTCTTCACCCTGAACATCTGTTCTTCATGCTCTATGTAACTTTACGTACGATCTCCTGTGAGAAGTTAACAACTGGCTGATAGTCGCAAGTTAAATCATCAGATTCAGGTCAAGATAGTTCAGGAGTAATGAAATTATAATAGATACTTAGAAATCATTAAAAAACAACTTTGTATTCCACATTCAGCCAGGAAACTTTTACAATACTAAGAATTCTAAACACAGTTTGTTGTATTTGTTACAAACTGATTAAACACAAATTAATTTGGTAATATGTGCGACCTCTCTGTGTTTGGGGCAGTTCAATATCCAGCTCTGCTTACCAGGCATCAGAGCTCTGGCTCTGTTCTTCTCAGCGTTGCCATCTTTCAGGGCAGTGCTGTAGTCTGCGTGCTTCGCCTGACGCTGACTGATCAACTGAAACACAAAGAAAACACTCAGCTACAATCATCACATTCACTGTGCACAGTTACCCAAGAATAAAAATGATCGGAAACCCAAATTGGAGTGCTAAATGCATGAAATGTAAGGGACAAGTTGAAATCACAATGTGGGTTAAGAAAAAACAACAGTTTACTTTACTTTGAACTGTTTGTCCATGCGCGTCCTGCCTGACAGTCCAGGGGTCAGGAGGTCAGACACGTAGGTGTGGAGGAGGTCTGACGTCACTGAGGTGTCACGGCTCAAGATGGCCTCCACCAGAGCATCATGGATAAAAACATACTGCTCCTAAAGGACAGAGACACATGTTCTCGATGAGGACAGACACTAAGAACAGTGTGTGTGTGTGTGTGTGTGTGTGTGTGTGTCTGTTTGTTCACTTACCTCTGTCTGAACCAGGAAGTTCCTCTGAGTCCGCACATGCTTCAGGAAACCAAGAACGTTCACTGTCCCCTGATCCTGGATCTGCTGCAGCATGGTGTCTATCACAATGTAGGTTCCTGTTCGTCCTACACCGGCACTGTGATGTGCACACATTACAAGTCAACACACTGAGTGTAGTCAGTTGATGGCATGGGCAAAGAAAAACATGACACTACCTGCAGTGCACCAGAACAGGTCCCATCTCTTGTGAGCGGGCCCGGGACGATGATCTGATGAAGGACAGGACAGGCAGAGTGTATTCTGGGACGCCCATGTCTGGCCACTGGGTGTAGTGGTAGTGCATGACTGTGTGTTCGACTCTCTGAGACGCCTTATTTGTGGTATCCCTGACGGTGAACGTCCGCAGTGTGTAGTACGCCAGGGTCTTGCTGCTTTTCAAGGTCACCTGGTATGCACCATACTCCTCCTGGTTCTCCTCGGGCCAATACTGGTCACATTTGGTCTGTAGAAGGACAGAGAAGGTAAAACATGAGCACATGACCAATGGAGACTTGTGAGACTTCCAACCATGTTCAAACTTCCCTTAAGGCAGACATTAAAGATCATGCTCAAGAGGACAAACACGTGGTTTGTGAGGCCATGTGACCTTTGACTACCCAAATGTAATCACATCATCTGTGATCCTGAGCTTTGACATTTCACCTTCATTCATCTTTGAGTCCAAGTGAATGTTTATACGACATTTTAACAAATTGAGATATCGTGCACACAACAATGGGACGGACAGAGGAGACAACTCTGAAACTCAAATGATGTTTTTGTATTTGATCAGATAATCTGTGTGTAAGCTGTTGTTGGTGTCACACTGGTATTTGTGTCAGTAGCGACCTCGTACCCGTCCTTTCTCCTTGAGGTTGGTGATCATGACGATCACCCCGACATTCTGCTGCCAGATCATCCTCCAGAAGTCTTCCCTGCCCGCTCTGAGAGGCCCCTGAGCTGCGATGTACGCTCTCGTTCGCTCATAACCCTGCAGAGGAAAACCACTGTTTACTGCAGTCAAGAACTGGACAGGGACTACTGGATTTCCTGACATGTGCGAATACATTCACTAAGTTAGAGGAACATTATAGAAAAGTGTACCTACATCAACAAAGTTAGCGTTGATGTAATCCCCACATTTCCCGTCTCGGTCTAAACTGTTGGACAGCTTCACTCTGCTGTGGTCATCTGGGAGAGGACAAACACAAATGAGTTTTATCGGCGGTTTGCATGATAACATGTCAATGTTGAGCACCGAGCACAGTGAACGGCGACGTACAGGCCAGAATGTTGATGTATCGGTTCTTGCTTTTGTTGTCGGGGTGATTGGAGCTGTCGGTGGTGATGCCCATGTCCACTGTGCAGGCTTGTACCTCCTGAAACGCAACAACACAATATACAGTACAACACATACAGGACTTAGATTAATCACTCAGAGGAAACTAGATAGCCACTGCCCAATGAACACATTGGACTGAACATCATAGACAGATAAATATAATTTCTAATATTGAATCTGTATTAAAATATGCTGGTGAAGCAAAAGACCAAAATTCTGTCTATTCCAAGTCAGTGAACCATCAAACTAATTTTGAAGCTGCTATTTTAAGGTAAAAAAAGGTGCTTAGTGTTGTTTTAAAGGCTCCATGACTGACAACATATTCCTGCGAATCAGCTTCCAACGTAGATTAAGAGCCAGAAATGAAGAGAGCAGCAGCTCCACCTCCATTTTTGCCCGACACCATAAAGTTTACATTTAAGATCACGTCTGAAAAGATGCAGAGGGTCAACAGAGGATCTTCCAGCAAAAAGAAAACAGCACCTCTGCAGGTGAGGAGGGGTGATACTGTTGGCTTCTTACCTCGTAGGATTCTTTGACAATCTAATGGAGGGTGGTGAGGATGCAGAAAGCACGACGATGGTGGTGGAGGTGGTGAAAGGAGAGCGGGCAAGGGGACAAGATGACAGACAGACAGACAGACAGACAGACAAGGAGTCAGTGCAGGTCCAGGAATATGGGGTTCAGATACACACAGAGAGGCCGTGCTCAATGGGAAACACTGATGCTCCTCCCTGATCTGTAAGACTTTGATTCTACTATCAAAGCATTGTTTTGTCCAAATACATAAAGAGTTAAATCAAAGTTGTGCTCTGACCACAGGCTCCTTCAATTTAGACTTTTGTTTTGTAAATTAAATTAATATATTTGTAAATGTATGATTGTAGAAAAGGTAAAAACACCATAACGAAATGGGGAAAACACATACAACACCCTGGCAATTAAAAAGGACTATATTACATACATTTTTTCCTATCTGTGTGTGTGTGTGTTACTCAAGAGGGTCATGCTCGGAGACAGAGGTGACTAATGCCATGCAGATGCACCTGTTGGTTGAAGTTAACCCACATCTGTTCTCAAACAGATTCAGATTCCAATTCTATACATTAGACATTGGTAATAAAATAATAATTTCACATTTAAAACACAAGGAGAAGGACGTTAACGTTTAAAGGCTGAAAACTTCAGATCCTAAATCTTATATACAGATGGACGACACCCCTCCACTTCCTCCCATGACATCTTTGAGAAAAATGGATTTGACGAGTTCTTTGACGCAAGTTTGATCCACATCCCATCCACTAACAAGGGGGAGGTGGTATTTATGACCTATAGTGCAGCCAGCCACCACGTGTGATCGAGATGCTTTGGTTTCAGTTCGGGGATCAGGACAGGTCCATCTTTGTATATGCTCCATGGTACAGATTGGTGTAAACCTGCCACTCAAATTTGAAGTTGAATGTTTTTTGTGTATTTGAATTTAGAGACTAAAATCAGATCCAAGCAGCTTCAGCATGATCAGTACCAAACACCCTTCATACCATGTTTACTGTTGTTTTGCATATTGCACATGGAAGCTACACATCAACACTGGGCTGAATGATATTCCTGTAGAGCATGAGGTTAATAGACATATGGAGGAGCATTATGGGACTATGACAAATGAGATGTTATCTCCTGATTGGTTATCTTCTGCAAGAGCAGTCCCCTGACAGAGCACCCATCTACTGTCTTTAAATGGAGGATGGCTTTATAAATATTTAGTTTACCTTGCTTTCCCTCATCCACAGACATTCCACTGAACCCAAATACTTGTCATGATCAGTTCACATACCTCAAACTCCTTGAAGAAGGTGTTGCTGGTGTGGAGCTCCATGACATGCCTCACAAACTGCTTCACCGTCAGCGGCTCATGACCGTCTGCAATAAACCACATAAATCCATATTGGATATTGCAATGATCATTCAATAATGTGTGCGTGTGTGTTACCTGTAGCCAGCAGCAGGGGTGTAGACGGAGCAGAAATGACTTTAGGTGATGCGCTGTCGTCTGGGTAGAAATTAGCTGCCTGGAAACAGTTTCTGTGAAGTACATGGATCAGAAATGAACTCAACCACACAAGTACAATTAATGCAGAGAGATATTGACCTTGTGTGTGTGTGTGTGGTGTGTGTACCTCCAGTAGATGAGTATGCCCACCAGGACCAATAGACAGATAATGGTGAGAGTGGAGACGACAGCGAGAGGAACCACTGTCCTCTTCTCCCTCTCCACACCTCCGACCAGCCCCACCCGAGACTCGTGGCTGCTGTTGCTGCCCTCTGATGAGAGAGACAGAGACGAGAAGGATGGGGTGTGATGGGTGAGAGACAGGGGGGAGAAGAAGGGGAGAGTGTGGGAGAGTCAATCAGAGGAGCAGGAGAAACAGTGATCATGTGTAGCACTTTCAAAATAAAAGTGAATGTTTACCAGAGGAACAACATTAGCCTTCTTTTGAGTTGTGAATGTAAATGTAATAAACATTAAATATTCTATCCAATATTTGATGTCTGTCTGGTGTCCTCTTCCTCCTGAGAAAAAATATCTGTCTATTAAATTACTAGAAGATCCTCTATGTACAACTTACTAGTCACAACTTTGTCGGTCTGTTGTTTAGCACTAAATATAACTGCAAAACAATGAACTGAAATTAGCTGAAATCATTATGGAGCTGAGCAGAGATGCAGAGTCAGGTGACTAATCCTTCATCACTTTGAGCAATCATTCCCCACTGCACACAATCATCTCATCCTCTGATGATTAATGCAGTTCTAAGTGTTTATTTCACCACCAGCAATAACACTGTAGCTGTTTGGAATAAACCATAGACTGAACATAGATGGACGACATGACTGCTCCCCAAAATTAAAGACAAAGTGTCTCGGGCAGATAATTATAGATATTGACTAATGTGAAGATCTTTTCCTTGAAATAATTTGACCATAATTCCCACAACTAATCAGCATGACTTTGATATTGTGGCTCCATCCCCCGATCGCAACTTCACAGACTCTGAACCTGCAAATTATGTCATTGGGGCTGTTTGTATCTGGGACAGTTTGTCTTTATTTCTGGATGGTTGAAGGAAGTAGAATTGCATCATACATCTTTATATACAGTCTACCACCAAACTGCCATTTGGACGTATATGGGACTGTGTACGGTATGTGTGTACGGTAGGATATAATAAGTGCAGTGCCCCATTACATCACAGAGAGGCAGTGTTGAGGAGCTGCACACTAACATTTACCTTCCTTTGGCTCGTCCATGGCGTCGGTCAGTCTGATCAGAGGCCCCAACACTGGGCTCCCTGCGGCATCAAACAACAACTGGTCCACACCTGAGAACTGCTGCAAACTCTCACCAATGACGCCTGCATCTCTGTCCTCTACGACACCTCCTTCACTCTCTATACCCACGGTCATTTTACTATCACCTTCTCCCTCCCAGATGTTCTCAGGAGTTAAGTTGTCCCCAATGAATGACCTGTAAGGACTCGTGTTTTGATCCTCTTCATCACGTCCATCACTACCACCATTGCTCATGTCTTCACTGCTGTCAAACAGTGGAACCTCTACTTTGACGGGCAGCCGCAGATCATCCCTTCTTTCAAACACAGCTTCTTTCCCAGCATCTATACCATCACCCTCCTTATCCTCTTTCTTTCCTTTTCCATCTCCACCACCATCTCCAGAACCACTGAGATCCTCAGACCAGCTAAAACTGATCTCAGTTTCAGCCCCGCTCCCGCTCTCAGTGTACGCCGTCTTCCCTGTAGCAGTTTCACCGTCTTTTTCCTCCAGCGTGTCAAAGCCTGCTGTGCGATTGAGCTGCCTGACACTCTCCTCTGGGTCTCCATCTACTTCCCTCACTCCAGTCTCACTTATTTCCTCTCCACCCATCTTTTCTTCCACCTCATCGCCATCCTCTGTCATCTCTCGATCTGCGTCTGTTTCCCACTTATTTCTGCCACCTTTTCTGCTTCCTGTATCATCTTTATAATGATCTATTTCAGTGGGCATCTTAGCTGCAGTTGATCTTCTCTTTCCCCTGATATCATCCACCTTGATGGTAATAGTTGAGCTTGGAAGAGTAGACAGGTCTGTACTCATTGTAGCGACTTCATCAGAGTCCTGTTTGAGTCTGTGGCCATCAAAGCCAGAGCCTGATCCACTGCCCTCTGTTGGTCTGTCTGGCAAATCCAAATGTTTAGAATCAAAGAAAGAAAAGTCGTCTTTATGTTGAGCTTCCTGCTCATTGCTGGGATGTGGCACGATATTTAGAACATCTTGAATCTTATTTTCACTTTTAGAAGGAGAAGTTTTTGGGGCACTTCCTCCAATAGCGTAAGTGCTTGATAAGTCGATGGCACTCAAACCAAAATCAGGCTGAAGAGAAAGGTATGCAGTGCTTGAGAGATCTTGTGAACTCAAAGTGGTAGAAATCTGAGCGTCTTCTGAATCCATTTCTAGACGGACAATAGCAAGCTCCTCAGAGGACTTATCTCCACTGCTTGTATTGTCTTCAAGCAGGGCAGGAGAAGGTGGGAAACGGATGGCGTGGTCAAGTGGTGGAGGTGTTGATCTGATGAAGTCGTCTTTGGCAGAGAGTCCTTCTTCCAGGAGAGACATCACAGGGTTTGCAATGTGGACAATTGCTCTACTAGAAGTGTTTGGAAAGACTGAGGAGTGGTCAACAGTTGAGTCCTCAGACTTGGACGTTGGTGTGTGCGCTGCAAGAAAAGTCAAAGTCTGAAAAGAAAAACTTTTCAAGGACACCAAAGCATTGAAATGGATTTCAAGCCAGGGAAGACAGAGGAAAAGGTAAGAACTTGATTCCAAGATATGGTGGACATGACAGATTCATTTAAGAAATTCAGACAGGAGTAGAGTCTTGACTCCACAGAGGAAAAGTATTTGGTCAACTTTATATTCATTGTGTTTCTGAATGAGACGATGGGATAAATCAGCTTGTTGAGGAAGAACTGATTAAATGAGTCCTTCATTCTTTAGAGACAGAGGAAGAAAGCAACCACCAGAGGGCGCCCTTCAGCCAGAGTAAAAGAATGCATACCCAGAATGAAGAAAGACAAGTCCAAGAAATAGACACTGATCATCAAGCTTGAGTGGATTCAAGTCGATTAAACAAAACCAAGAAAAAAATCTCCTCATGTGGAAACTAAAGGATTTGAAGAAAGCAAGAGAAAGAGGAAGATGCTGATTATTGCTCTAATCATCATCATCAGCCACATTCTCTATAGGACCATCATCATCATCACAACCATCATCATCACCACTGCCATTATATGCGTCATGCCTCTATACAATATGCCACCATGATCACAGGGCACAGCAGTGATTAGCTGAACAGCAGGTTGTTAGAAGGGAAAGACATTTGTCCACTGGAGTTAAGTGCAACTCTCTACCCACCACCAGAGAACATGTTTTTACAATGCAGGATGCGATATAGATCAGGGAAGAACCCATTACTTTTGGTGTTGATCTGAATCAGGGGGTGGATACAGGAATTTCTTTTCCACTTTCTTTAACAATGGAAGATAGGGCTGGTTAACACTCATTTCCCAGGAAATAATCTGGAATAATCTAGATGATAAAAACATATTTCAGGGACTGATATCTATTCTCTATTATGTTGAGAGTGTGCAATTTCATTCAGCTTGATGGATTTAAAGGGGCCATGACAGATGTATTCTACTTGTGCATCAGATATGTTTCGAGAGATGGGGCTCTCAGGTGTTTTACCCTACCGTTGAACATGGGCTGGGTCGTATGCATCAGCACTCTGAGCAGAGAGGAGGTGGTGAGTGATTTGTAGACTGAGTTGGCGAGGGTGTTGCTGGCGGTTGCCGTCCTTGCTGTGATCCAGAGGGAGGACGGCGAGGAAGAGGAGGCAGAAGTTACGGTTTCCGGTAGTGGTTTGTTCACGAGAGCCTTGCTGTCCTCAGCGGGGAATACTGGGGAGACACTGTCCTCTTGAATACCTGTGGGAGAAAGGGAACGTGACATTGATGTGACATGTGTTGTGCCACAACATGATGATGTGGCCTAACATGATCAGATTCCTCATGTTATGACTGGATGTGGCCTTGTGGTGCATGAATCTCCTGGGCCTGATGTGATGTGCCATAATGAGCCATGGCTCTGATGTCACAACATGGTGTGTGATGTGAGGTGAAGTAGTACGAACTCATATGTCTGATGATTGGACATGCCATGATGTACCTTAATATGGAACGACAAGTGAAGGGATGTCATGGAATATCACATCACATGATTCATGTGAATGCAGTGTATACATTTTGAACCCCTCAAAAATTTATTGTAAGGAAAATATAAGTACTATTATTTTTAAGATTTAAAGACCTTCATAATAACAACTGAAAAACATCTTCGATTCCAGGCCTTTAAGACCATTATCAAATTTCACATCAAAACTGACCAGCTGTGGCTCAGGAGATGCAGTGGGTCATCCACTAACCAGAAGGTCATAGTTTAATACCGGGCTCCTCCAGTCCACGTGCTTTAGTGTCCCTGGGCAAGACACTGAACCCAAAATTGCCCCCAACTGTGCTGACAGAGTAAATGATGTGTTTTTTACTGTAAAGTGCTTTGAAGAGTCAATAAGACTGAAAAAGTGCTATATAAATACAGCTAATTTACATTAGGCATTATGTATTTTGATTATTAACATGTCTATGCTTGTATAAAATGACAGCAATAGTTGTTATTATTAATTTGAAAGCATTTAAAAAAAAAATAAACATTTGAACTGGAACAAGACATGTTGGACTTGGGCCGACAGAATCTTTTCCACAGCTGCCCACTCCCTCTGGAACCCTCTTCCCCAAACTGCACTGAACTGTCCACCTTTAAAACACCATTCAAATCTATCTCTGCTTTTAATGCTTGATTATTATGTGTATACTATATTTCAAAGTCTGCTTATGATGTGCATTTTTTATAATCCTCTAAGTGTCTGAGCATTGTTAAAGGTAAACATTTTTTTGATGCATTATGTTTTCTATTGTTAGAATCCACTGAATTGTGACTGTCAGTGTTGTAAATCTTGAGTACAACGATTACTGACTCTCTTCGTAGGACTCTGCAGCATCCAGCAGAACAAAGTCTTCAGCTGGTCCCTATTTAAACATTTATGAGTTTAAATTCCCCCCCGGCACTGGACCAGGAGCTGCAGCAGCAGCACCACCAATCCAAGATGTTTTTGTGTAAACTAGACTGACAAAAAGAAAAACAGAATAAAATCTCTTCAAGTCTGACCTGGCACCGCAACAGCAGCAGAGGACTCAGTTGCAGCAGAGGCAGAGCTTTCCAGGGGGAAGTTGTTGACTGTGTCTTCATAGAAGATATCTGTGACTTGGATTTCCTCCACAGGAGGGGTGTAGAGATCTGACTGCGGAGAAGGGAGCTCACTTTCGCCAGCTTGTTCTGGTGGACCCTGATTCTTTAAAGGAAGTAAGACAAAGGCGAAAACAAGACCACAAGATAAATCTGTGAACAAGGTTTCATTTAAACACATGGTCTGACATTAGGAATGTACAACAAGTGTCATATCTTGTTATCTATCTCATAATTGTTTGTTGCTGTATAAATTATATATATATATTTTTAATATGCCGCTAAGTCCCATTATGCAAATAAAAAATGAAAGAATCGGTCTGATGACTAACAAGGTGTTTCAGGAGCTACAGAAGCAGTGTTTCCTGTGCAGAATTTGAAGAAATGAGATAACATGTTCGACAAGGATGGGACGGACAACCTAATGCCTATTGGCATAGAAACCAATATAATACACTTGAGGAAAGAAAACTGAAGAAGCATAATGTGTCGTCTTTAAGGTTGATTTTAAAGGAGAAAAACATGTAGTACCAAGTGGAATTTATTTTATTTTGTCACCGAGAAGATCCAAACGCTGTACCTGATTTGGGACCACTGACAGTGACGCCTCTTCTGTGATTTGTCGGTGTATCATTGGCAGCGTCGTGATCCGAGCAACTGGAAACAGGAAGCCTGGCTGTTCGGTTGCCTCGCTTACCCAGATTGCACCATTGCCGTCAAAACCTGCATGAGTGAAGGGCCGCTGTGTTGGAGTCATGCTGTCCTCGTCGATCCAGTTCTGATCCATATCATCCGGTGTAGACCTGTTGTGATCCGGTTTCTTTTTCACATTCTGGTTGAGTCGAGTTTTCTGCAGAACCACAGAATCAGAGGGAGTCTTGGGGGTTGAGCGGGGGTTGACCTGCACTGTGACGTCCGGGTTTGCTTGGGTTTGATTCTGGAGGCGTGTGGGCTGGTTCTGGTAAACTCTGGTCTGCTCCACTGGGACCTCCTCCACAGGGCTGTGGTCCTCTGGGGACAAATCCACCTGGTTATGGTTCTCAGGTTTCCCCCATTTGGCTTTAGATGAGACCTACCAGGAGGAAGAGAGCACGGCTGTGAGAAGCTGTCTCACAAGATGTTTGTTCTGTTTAGAGCATGTATCTCTGCTCGGTTTAGAGTTGATTTCACTGACCACCAAATGTGAGCCATATGAGCCATGGAAAACACTACTCGCCCTGTCTTAGCATGAAAACTCCAGGGCAGTGTTTTTCTTCCACAAGAAAACAACCATCATTAGCCTCGGCTACCAGTGTAGAACACAACATGAATAATCAATTACAAGTTTGGCTGACCCTGTTGTCTTTGCTAGCAGCTGTTGTGCAGTTTTACAATGATGCGTTTGTTTACATGTGTAGGAGACAAGCTGTAATTTCACTTCATCTGTTGACACCGACACATGCATGCCCAGTGTACATGAGTGGTCGTGTAATATGCATTTTCAGTCATGTTAGTATGAATGGGGATTAAACTGTATTTTCAAATTAAAACATAGTAGTTTCAGGCTGATCCAAAGTAGAGACTTAAGAGTCCCTTGGTTTTGGAACGACCTGCCTGAGGAGATGAGGCTGGCAGACTCAGTGACTTCTTTAAATTAATTATAAAACCTGCTGTCTTTTAATAATTTTTGTTTTGAATTGTATCTGATTATAAGAGACAGACGAAACAAAGACAAGTAAAGGATACTTTCACTGCCTCTTCTTTAAATTAGTGAATATAAATGTTCACCTAGTGGTGGCGCCGTCTTTTTCCTTCTTCACTCATTAAATGAATTATAAAGCCATCTCCATTAATACAGAGTGAAGGAGAGAACTGGTGGTTCTGTCAACCTCTGGTACAGCTCTCTGAGCACGTAAAAACAAGCCTCTGCTGACATAATTACAATCATTTGCATAGTAATTAGGCTCGCTGACATGAGTGAATACGGGGCAAACAAAATAATTTGGCTAAATGAATGCCAACGTGCTGAGTGGTGTCAGGTGGAACCTCCCCCCCCCACACACACACACACACAGACACCCACAGATTGTCCTACCTCATTGTTGACTCCCACATCTTTAGTGACAGTGTCAGGATCCGAATCAATTTCTAAAGAGAAGAACAAAAAACATTTAATACCATTGTAATGAATGTAACAGTTTAAACACATGCTCTGAGTGTGTGTGTGTGTTTGAGTGTGTACGTACCGGGGTCTTCTAAAGGCATGTCCACTATAATCTGGTCGCTCCATCGTCCTCTGAGTCCATTGGTGCAAACAGCCACCACCTGTACCACATAGCTGCTGTTGGCCAGCAGGCTTGAGATGATGGCGCCCTGTAAAGTCACATAAGACTTTTCTACAAACCACAATGCAATAAGGTGAGCTCACACACTCCTTCATCACCCTGGTGTTCAATTTGAACCGATTTTGATCTGGTTGTTGCATTTGTTTTTGTTTGTATGTATGTCTGTTAGTTAGCAGGATTATGCAAAAATTACACGATGACCACGAAACTTGGTGGAAGGATGTGGTCAGGAAAGAACCCATTCAATTTGGTGTGGATCCAGATCAGAGTTTGATCTGGGAATTCTTTTTCCCTTCCTTTAACACTGTGAGATATGGTAGTAGCCCTATGTGCACTGCAAATAAATAGGGGAAATTAGATTTGGAGGCGTGCATACAATTAAAATAATCTAATAATTACTCAAGTCAAGTACACTCATGCTGTACATGTACAATATGTAAACAAACAGGTCAACTCAGTCTTTGATGATTGATTGCAGACTCAGGGACATCCATAGCTTCCTGCTTTTACCGGACACATTTATACATGAGAATCAAATAACGCTATAACATGCATTTCACAGGATCTTTAAAATTACATGTATTCATAGGTAAGTGTTCATCTGGATGTCTTTGTTAGTTTTTTTTTGGAGAAATGTGGACAAATCTTCTCGTACCACATCCTGGTCCCCGTCTGTCCTGTACTCCTGCTTGCTTTGGTCTCGGCCCTGCAGCCTCTGGTACGTGACGGTGTACCAGTCGATGGTCGTGTCGTAAACCACGCGGGGGCGCTCCCACGTCACCACGATGGTGGTGTCGTTCTGAGCGTCGGCCTGAACGTTCTCTGGCTCTAAGCTGCAGGCTGGTGACAGAAAAAAGATCTGTTAGAAAAAAAACCAACGAAATTGTTTCTTTGCTTGGGTGAGATGCAAGAAAACTGAACAAAACAAATGAAAAAACATGAGGAGAACAGTCACAACAGGACAGCTGCATCTAAACATCTGACAAATGGTGAAATGTCTCACATTAACTACGGCGTTGCTGAAAGTTCAACTGCACTGAAAATGGAAGGAATACATTTAAAACAGAACAACTCTGGAGGTGAATGTGGCAATGAGTGGGAGGTGCGGGTGTGTGCGTGTGTGTGTGTGTGTGTGTGATCATGAATATGTTGCAGGCAAAAAGACCCCTCTCTGAATTTCTGAATACTTTATTTCAATTTCAAAAAGAGCAGCAAAATAAATTGCCAGCTTGGAGAGGAGCAGGGGCGCTGAAGTACAAAGTCGAGCTTGCTGGAAACCCACTTTAGACCCACTTTACTTTATGAAGATGGAGAGCTTCGTGAATTATATCTTTTGATGATCATGACGAGGCTGACCCTGGAGGACTACGTTACAGCTGCAGGCAAAGAAGGATAATACGTGGAAAAATTATGAATAACAATGTATTCAACTCTGATGGGGGAGTTTAATTTATACAACATTTTCATATTGCTGAAAATTGTACAGTCCACAAGCTTCAATTTGACTGTTCCATGTCACCAAAGGTTTTTAATTTATTCTGAGACTGGAATGTGAAAGAGTTCTCATTATACAGACTGGGCCCTTTCATTGTGTTGTACCTTTATTGTTTTAATATCAAAATAGCAATGAAATAATGCAACTGATCAAGATGGAGCCATTTTAACTATCAAGACACTCCTGGCCAATTTAATCCCCACAATGCATCTTATTATGTATAGAAATACCTCTGCCAAGGAGTTTATGTTTTTGTCGCTGTCTTTTAGTCAAAAGGATTACACAAACACTATTGGATGGATTCCTATGATACTTGGTGGAAGGCTGTGGTATACGTTAGGAAAGAACCCATTCAATTTGGTGTGGATCCAGATCAGAGTTTGATCCGGGAATTCTTTTTCCCTTTCTAACATTGTGAGATGGTATTAGCCCTATGTGCCCTTCTGCAAATAAATAGGTGAAATTAGATTTGGAGGCGTTATGTTGCATAAAATTAAAATAATCAAGTAAATACTCAAGTAAAGTACAGAACATTAGTAAATGTAGTTACTCTGTCACTCTGTGCGATTGATTTTAAAGATTTTCTTTACTTTCTGTAATTAAAAGGATTTATATAAACATGAGGTGACTCAATGGGAAATTAAGTAAAATGCAGAAAAAGGAAACAAACAAGCAGCTTGAACTTTTGTTAGTTGGGTGTTTTGTGACATACTGGGTGTGAGCACGTCCTCCACTCCGGTGTACGAGGCAAACACCTGACCCATGAACTGCTGCTGCTGTTCTCTGAAGTTGTTCTGTAGGTAATCTGTCAGCATCACGTATCCGGCCTGCTCCATGGTCATCACCTCGCAAAACATCTCCAACTGAGACACACAGAGAAATGTTAATCATTTAAGGTGAAGACATGTAGGTATGGTTTAACATTAGGTTTAGGTTAGGCAAGTAGTAACTATGGTTAAGGTTAGGTTAAGTCTCCAGGAAATCAATGTAAGTCAATATAAAATCCTCTTAAATCATAGAGACACGTGTCTTGTGTCTTTGTGTGTGTGTGTGTGTGTGTGTGTGTAAGAGGCTTGTGTCGGTGCCAGCCAGAGCCAGAGAGTAGCACTGCACTATTTATGGTTAGCTCAGATGTGCCCATGCCTTGCCACCCTCATTTCAATCATGCAAACACACACACACACACACACACACACACACACACACAATAACCGGCCTGTCCTCGTTCACTCTCCAATATTCTTCTACATAACTGATGATTATCACACAGATGATTTCAGTTGTAGCTGCTGTTCCTCGGAGATCCTGGAACGTCTTCAGTCTAGAACCAAACTGCAGGGACACCACAGTGCCAGCTCGTGTTGTTGCTGCTTGACAGAACTTTTTTTATTTCACCGGATTATTCCACTGCAAAAACCCTTTTCTCTAAATTCACATTTTGACTCAGGTCGTCAGATTGCATTACTTCAATGTCACAAGCCACAAACTGCCACCAGACACAACAACTCCAGGCGGCAACCGGAGACAAAGGAGATGGAGGAGAAGAGGAGTTTCCTTTTTATGCTGTCGTTTTAAAGTGAATACTAGAGCCAGGGACGACTGATGTTTTTTTTAACGGTTTTTACATCACTGCAGCAAGGACCCATATGACTTTTTGTTTCATGATTTCAAAGCACTACATGAGTGTGACTGGGAGCGTCTAACATTAAAAAATGAGAATTTACATCATAAAGCTAGCAGGCTCTCATCAGGCATTAATTTAGTAGCGGCTGTCATTGATTTTAAAAGAAGCTTTTCATGACTGTTGGTTGTAAGTGAATGAGAAACAGAATTAGTCAAGCTGCCTTTTCTTTATTCGGTCCAGTGAAATCATTATTCAGAAAGTGTTGTGAATTTCTTGGTTTGGAATAAATAAATAATACAATTCATGTTGTTTTGTTTAAAACAGTCACAAAGGAAAAATGCTATAAATGTGGAAGAAAATACATTCTGTTACCCTCATGATAACTCAGTTTAATCCCCTTAAAGCTAGAGCTGGTAAGGTTCAATGTTTAGGTTACTTTCTTTGTCTCGCTCAGGAGAAAATTGTTTTGGATACAGGGAATTGTTGCCTCGTTGCAAAACACACAATAAAAACATTAAATAGGACGTGCACGTGCAAAACATTAGCTTGTGCAAATAGAATCCTGTTAAAGCTTGTAGGAGCAGGCTATACTTTGAAAATATGCAATTGATACATCTCACTGTCTCTAACTGACCCTCTGGTCAAAGTCACATCCCAAAACACATGAACGTGCACCAAGTGACAACTGCTAGAAGACAACTTTTCTGTGACTCACTCGCTTGCCTCTGGTTATCGTCTCGCAAGCTTGTGAAGTCATGTGCAGTAAGAGCACGGGAGGGTGAGTGTGGGCAGGCGGGTCAGTTAATGACAGACTGGTACACCAGCCAGTCATTTCATTCAGTCCATGTGAAATGATTGGATGATTTTATTTAATGATCTTATTTCCTCAAATAAGATAAAAGTGGTACAGGAACAATTTACCAACCCTACCATCATCGTTAAAAGGGAATGCTTTTATTTCTAAGTGCAAGGAAGAAGTAGTGCTTAGCGCTAGCTTGAGTGATGCAAATATGTAGTTATTGAGTTCAGGCTTTTTTCTACTCAGCATGTTCGTAAGTAAGGGTTTGTGTGTGTGTGTGTGTGTGTGTGTGTGTGTGTGTGTGTGTGTGTGTGTGTGTGTGTGTGTGCACTGACCTGTTTTTCTGATATGGGCACAGTTTGTTTGAACACAATCCATTCCACCATCTCAGAGCAGGGAGGAGCAGTCAGGGAGCCGTTGTAGATGTAGTATTTATCTGTGTTATTAGGCATTAAGGAGCGCAAGGTGAACGCTTCCAGCGAGCCGCTTTTACCTGGTTTAAACAAAAAAAAAAGGAATGAAGTCCCTCCAGTAGCTGTCACAACAAATAACACATATTCCCAAAGATGATAGACTACCTTGAATAAAGCATTTTAAAGTCTCAGACTGTTTGTTCAGTCTGTGACATTCGTGATTTATCATTCAGGAGAGAGTGGCATCCTTTACTGTGTCATTATATTTGTGGCACACTTTATTTTGGATTCAAGGAGATATTTTCCAACTACTTGTGTTGAAACTATGACATGGAAATACAGTGACTCTGAATGACTTTGTGGGACATCTTGATTTCTCTGATGATTCAATACATTATTCTCCTGAACACGTCCTATAATTTTATCAAATTAACTTCAGTGTTTTTCCCTCTTGGGTAAAATCAATTTGTGCAGAGCTCAGTCTGAGGCTCATAAGCACAACAACAAGGGAGATTAATGCAATTTAAGGGCTTATTATTTTACAATTTGCACCCAGTGTAATGACCCAGAGAGGTGACCTACCAAACCTGCTGACAGTGTTGATGGCATCTATCACAGGATTAAAGTTCTCATTGTCTTCCTGGCTGATCTGTGGATGAGAACACATAGACAGGCATTATTTTAAAGAGGAACAGAAATGACTCACAGATAATAGTTGGTAACCTTACGGAGCTTTGTCGGTGCATGTTTTGCAAAAATGGACCCGTGCAGGACTCTGATGATCTGGGTCACAAACCAAACAAGTGGACCTACCTCAAAGAGCACAGCCAAAGCAGCGACCCTCCCTCCCTCCCTAATAGCATCATCCAGACTTAGAAAGTCATCTGGATCGTAACAGTAGATCTGCATCTGGATGAGAGCAAGAAACAGGCAGGTTAGGTGGACTCAGACCAATGTATGATCATTCAATGTGTTGATGACGTCGCAGACGAACCTCCAGAGGGTATTTCATCCCATTCAGGCTGTGCTCAGACCCATCTGACGTTGCGTTGCAGCGCCCCCAGTGGAACATGATTCTACTGACACGAAACCTGGAGTTCAATCCTCCTCCACTCACAAAGAATTCCCCCTCCACATCAATGGCCACTAAAACACACACACATAAACTTTGATTTAACATTTGTGTAAACCAACCTGTTGAAATGATAATAGAGCAAAGAGCAGTTTATTTATTCCAGTGTACGTCATAAAGCCCATCTCCTCCATGTTAGTGGACGGGAGAAGGGAGAAATGGACAAAGTACACGTCAGATACATTTTTATCAAGTATGGTTTCTGTCATTTTATCACACTGATGTTAGTTCAAGTGTTCATTTTTTGATAAGGCTTTAAAAACAGGGGGAAACGTCATGATTGACAGCTGAGACTGAATTTGGCTGAACGTGTTTATGGACAGTGCCTCGATACTGTGGCTCCACCCACTTGATCGCTGCAGTGCAGACTCTGACTCCAAATGCAAAAAATGGCAGCCTTCATATCCAGGATCTTTGAGCATCCTTTCTAGATAGTGATAGGAAGACATGTCATCCATCTTTATATACAGTCTATGGTTTGCCCGTACAGAACGCTGGCGGCCAAATTACCAGTCAGCTTCACTAATGCTCCATGTTCAAATCTTCAAAACAACTGACAAGATGGTAACAACCACTTTAAACTTTAAAACATTCCTGCAGTGGTGTCACAGACACAGATCCATGTTCTCTTCACAGGAAATGACATGGAGCTTGGCAGCTGCAGCTTAAATGTGGGAATCCTGGTCATTTGATTTATGTGCCATGTCATGACTATGACATGTGTTATGAGTCCTCTCGTTGAACTTTTAATGGTGGGATTCTAATGTGAGGCACATGTGGACATTTTGCAAATGTTTACAAAATGTTCTGATGCCCAGTTTGTCTTTTAATATCACATTCAGTGCAGTGAGACAGAGCAGGTCATATATTTCTCCCATACTATTAAGCCAGCTGTTCAGCAATATAAATATGCAATTTCCTGTTTGATTCCACAGAGAGAAAAGGAGATAGGTTTTAGGCCCATTAACATACAGAGGGTAAACACACACACAGACACACACAGACACACACAGACAAACACACAAACACACACAGGCAGTATTGAAAGATGGTGATAATATCTCAGACAGCTTTCATTTGTTTCTCAGTGCAAACGTTACTGCACACTCTGACTCTCCTCTTGCCGTTTTATCACATCGTCTTCTCTACATGTACATTTCCTTCTCTTGCTCTTTTGTTGCTGCTTCTCTGTTGCTCGGTTTCCTCTTGTCTGCCTCTCGACATCGATTTTCCTTCCCTCTCTCCACATGATCTCTGCGCTGCTGTCTCACTGGCTGTTGCTCTCAGTCTCTTTCATTATCTGACTTGTTCTCCTTTAAATCCTTGCTGCTTCTCTTCTTCATTAACCTACAGGTTGTGAAATATATACGTGCATTTTTCTGCTTCTGAAAAGTTAAGCTTCTTTCGACATCCAGGGATTAAGAAGTGTTTTACGGCAGCGGAAACATGTCAGAATCATTTCCATGGGATCTACCACATGCTGCATCTCTCCTCTGCTTGCTGCTTTAACAGGCTCTTCTCTGGGGTTTAAAATAAAAAAGAGAGAACTGATACAGCTTGGGGTTTGATTTCCTGCAGGACATCATTGTTAACATGGCTTCAGAAATTTGACAAGGCAGAGCTAAAACCACTTCTTGATTAAGCCTGGGGGCTGATTATGGACAAAGAAAACAGTATGTTAAGGTTAGTCTGTTGATACTCACTTTTCATAAAGCAAAAGACCAGACAGTGTGGGAAAGGTACAATACACATGTTTTTTTTAGCTGTAAATTAAATTATGACTGTTCTTTGATGAAATACATGCTGGTTTTAACATCACCATCACGTGGTGTTATAACCATTTGACGTCTTTATGTCATGACATTCATATATATTTGAAAAGATTAATACCCTCTAATGAAGGGTGGGGGCCACCAAAGACCACCCTTGAGTTGGAATCTGGAAAGCAGCGCTCATTTTCAAATCTATACTGAAACAAAACAAATAAACCACCACATCGTCTGCCATTCAGAGACGTCTCCCATCCTCTCCTGTCCCTCTATGTCCTCAGACACGACTGCTTCAGCCCTGACTGTCTCACAAACACACCCCTGTTGTTGAGATGCCCTTAATCAATAAGACATTTCTGTGGTTAAAGTGTGTTTGATGCTACTGGAGTTGTTGCTAATAACTAGACAACCTAGATAACAGGCTAATGTGTGTGTGTGTGTGTGTGTGTGTGTGTGAGTGAGAGATGGGCCTGTGGGGGGTAGGTAGAGACTTAGCCACGCTCCCAGCACTGCGTCAAAAGGTATTTGTAGAATTTCACATCAGCCAAAACTTAGAGGTGAAGTTACATTTGAGGGCATTGTGAAAACATTATCGTACCAGTCTTTCCATTGTTGTGGATGGTGCTGGACTCTGCCGTCAGTTGGTCCCAGCCCTCGAGCTGTAGGTTTTGGTACTGCAGCCTGACCTGGGTGAAGGTTTCATCGATGTCCACAGGAGACTGCCGGCCGCTGTTGCAGGACGGGTACTTCTTACCCCAGCTGTGCTGGTTCAGGGTCCCTGCATAAGAGAGGGAGCGTGACAGATAAATAAAGCGATACAGAGTGTTCAAGGACTACTCATCTGAAAATGTCAAACTCCCTGAAAACTGTTTTGCTTTTGCATCTGCGTCACCAGAAAATCTGGAGGCTCAGCTGTGTTTGTGTTGGGAAAACAGGCCGAGTGCTATATTGTGACATAAAACAATCAAGCAGATTTTCCATTTTATTGCAAAAAATCTGAGTTCTATAATAAGATATTTTTGGATGCTGACAACCTTCACTTTTCACTCTTTGCTGTATCTGTACTATACATTTAGAAATGTGTGTTGCTGTTTGCAAACAGTATACTGGCTGTAAATGGATCCAGCTCTAATGAGGGCAGATGGTCAAACTATTGGTCAAACATTACTGGTTGGCCTCAGGTCACACTGTATCCTTGCAACCAAGTGTGTGTGTGTTTGTGTGTGTTGTTAACACACGAGTATTGATGTCCCGGTATGTGTGATGTGTGTTTGTGAATTGTTGTGTGGAGTGCACAACATGAATTCTGTTTAAACTCATGTGGCTTGGGTGTGTATGCGTGTGTGTGCATGCATGTGTGTGTGTGTGTGTTTGAACAAGGCTGTGCTTTTCGCATGAATAATGTAAGAGAATATGAGCAGCATCTGAAGAACAGTCAAACATGCATCACAATAAATGCAATCAAAGAGACATAAAAGAAAAAATGTAATTTTCCTAATTTCCAGCTCGTACCACATTCAGTTTGTTTCAATGTTCGGCTAAATATCACCGGCTCTGCCTCAAAATGTCTGTGTGACTGAATCAATTATGTATGAGTGTATGTCTGCATACACAAACGCTGGTTAAATGCAGAGACATGCAGTGTATGAATCTATTCATGACTAACTCCATCCACTGACATACCAATCTGTGTGTGCTCTTATTTGTTACACACACACAGCACCTTCTCATAGGTACAAGCTACGTGTGTACTGTACTAGTGTAAACTGGAACACAGTTGCTAGTTGCGTGTAAGCATGAATAGTCATCGTCTTTGCATGAGTGAATATGTTAATTCACTGTGCAGCCATTCATCTGCTCTTTCCTCCAGGCGGATTCAGGGAAGTCTCTGGAGTCAACCCACTGAACTACATTCATCTTGCTGACTTATGTTTTAGAGGTAACGTTGCAATGTATATTGTTGGAAAACTGACAATAATAAAAAAAATAGTAATTTTCAAAAAGCTTATAAGTAATGATTTATTGTATCACAACTCAATAAGATAATTTGACTTAAGGTTCGATTTTATTCCTCACTATGCCAAGTCCTCACTTTTTAAAACAGCTGTTTGAGGAGTAAGACTTTTTTTTTTTTTAAAGGTTTTAAGGTTAGAATTAGGTTTAAGTTATGGTTAGGGCAAGGGTTGGTGTTAGGGTTAGTTGTGATGGATAATGTAAGAGCAAGGGCAATCGTGTCTAAAGACTAAATCAGCCTCTGGGGGCAACAGCCAATATTTTGGGGCTTTCAATGTAAACAGCAGATATTACTAAGAACGAAAGCTTATGTGTGTGTGTGTGTGTGTGTGTGTTTTACAGTACAACAATAAAGACAATGGGTCTAATGAGGTCAGAGCAGATGGTTTAACTGTAACTGGTCACACATGACTTAACAGGTATTGGCTTTACATTCCTGCTTATGTGTGTTTGTGACCCAAGTTCATCTAAATCAATTTCCTCTCTGTTGCACAGTTTGTCAGTTTGACAGCGACATTTCAAAAACATCCACCCTGTAAAAATGACTGAGGTCAAAATGTTCTGTCGGTTCAATGGTTCAGCAACATCCAGCTGTGTTTCATTTACATGAGCGATCTTCAATCGACAACAACCTACAACCAGCATAAGTCTGAGAGGTGCATACAGTAACCAGATTTATTTTTGTCATAACCCAAAGGAAACCCAACAACACCAGACATACAAGAGGCAGCATCACAACCAACACTATTGTCATGGACAAAAACAACAGACCACAAAGTTACAACAGAGTGAGAGAGAGGGGACAATCTCAGTTTGTCTGTCTCTTAGGATTAAGCAAAAAAGCAATCTAATGAAAGTTGGTGGAAGGGAGTGGTACGGACAAAGGAAGACTATTAACATGAACTGTTGGTTTGGATTTGATTCAGGGCAAGGATCAGGACCAGGATTGTTTTTCGGCATTCGGCACTCTTTAGACATTGACATTGTCAATCACAACAACGGCAACTTAAACTGATTCTGCAGTTCAGGGTTCTGAGTGCTGAGTTAGCTTAGTTAAACTTTGATAATATCTATGAAATTTGGTGCAGATCCTGATAATGGTCCTGATTTTGTGACACAAAAAGTATTTTAGGGGAATGAACATCATTAATTTACTGTAAGGTAACAAATATTTCAAATATATCAGAGATATTTTCCTGCATGTAATGGGAGCAGATTGCAGAAAATGGTCTTAATGGTATCTGATCTAAGATAAGATATATATTTTGGCGGCTGTGGCTGAGCGGTAGAGGGGTCGTCCTCCAAACAGAAGGTCTGATCCCAGTCTTCCTGCTTCTGCATGCCAAAGTGTCCCTGCTGCATATCCTCTCATAGAAAACAGTGCTGCCCATGGATGCACTGTATGAATGAATGGGTAAAAGGCAAACTGTAAAGTACTGTACTGTAAAGAGCTTTGAGTGGTCATCAAGACTAGCAAAGCACTATATAAATACAGATGTTTACCTGTGTTTCAATTTGTGATATCTGTACTTCGGTTCCACATTTCCATCTTCATTTCCATTTTATATGACGGTGCTAATACACTGTGTGGGTGTGTCGCTGAAATGACAGTGGGTCTGTCAACTGGCCACTGCAGCCTCATCCGTCAGCATCATAACACAAACACATTAGCTACTCTGACATAATGCTACCATGGCAACAAGTAGCTGACAGGTTAAAGAAAGGAATTAAAAAATCCACTGAAACTCGACTTTCCCGTCTTCATTCAAATCCACAACCACACACACACACGTATCACTCACATTCAGTCAAGGAGTAAAATTTGGATGATTAAATATGGAAATTACAATTCATATCTCTGACTTCCATTTGCTTTTTCACAGTAGTTCCAGAATAAAGCCTGCTGATGCTGCCACTGTGAGGATGTCGGACCTATTGTTGAAATTCATGTGGGGAACGAAGAGTCTGCTTTCTTAAATAAGAAATAATATCAGTATTATACTATATTTTCTCCTCAGTTTGTCCTTTGTACCTAAATTTGATATACTTATTTAATAATCATCTGTCTATGTGATAAATCAAATTCAATAGATGAGATCACAGTCAATAAAATAATAATAGCCATGATTTTTGCAAAAATAGGGTGAATTCTTGGCTCTTTATGAAAATATCAGACATGTTTAGGACACTGTTTTCGATGAGTGTGTGCAACTTTTTACAGCTTGATTAAATTTAAAGGGACTGATGGCCATTGTGAAGCTATCTGCTCTGATTGCCGTTGTAGTTAGTAAAGTGTTCAAGATAATTATGTAAATTATAGTGAGATAGTAAAGATGTCTGGAAAGATATTAAACTTCTCTGCAGCAGCCAACAGAGCAACCAGCTGTCGGAGTCAAGATCGAGACAGAAACCATTTACACCTGATCCCGCTGCTCCGTTTACCCCAGTACCCCTTCCATTTCAGCTTAACCCTGACTCCCGAGGGAGAAGAGGTGAGGGGAGAGAGGAGGAGAGGTGAGACGACAGAGGAGGAGAGTGCATTTAGTACAAGAGGAGAACAGAGATGTAGCAACAGGGGGGAAAAAAAGGTTAGAGCACAAAGGGGATGAGAGAGGACACAGGAGAAAACATGGACGTCACAAAAAATGAGGTGTATGCGACATGAGGGTAGAGGAGAGCAGAAGACAAAGACAGGAAAGAACGGAGACAAAAAGAAGGAAAGTGTGTGTGTGTGTGCTGATGTAACGTACAGCTATGTTTCATGCTGAGAAAGTGCTCATTGAGAAACACAAATGTACATGCTATCTGCCTTTCTCCTCCTGCCTCAGCTTACACCAGTTCAGCTCCCTTGAATGCATGTCTCCTCTCTCTCTCTCTCTCTCTCTCTCACACCCACACACACACACACACGCACAGACACACCCACACAGAGCTGATTTCACCCTCTGTGAGAAGGTTCTGCACTGCTGAGCGAGCTAACTGTTCAGAAAACATGCTGTATTATTAAATTGAATAATGTAGGGCTTGACTTTTTTAAGGACTGTCAGCCCCCGTCTGAATCACTGTCTGTAAAAATAGCCGAATATGTATCAAATATTAAAAGGAAAAAACGTTTCTTGGTTTAGCTTAACTCAGGGTGGTGCCTCTGAATCTGCATTATTGTGTGGCTGGCAGGAGGAGACAGAAGCAGTTGAACAGTTTAACCTCATTTCATGCACAGAGAGCTCTCTATTTCCTAAATGTTCCAGACGCTGCAATGTATAAATATAGATGACTAAAGATTGGTTTTATAATCCATCCAATCATACTGAGAAAAATATCCAGACAAAAGCCAAGAAGCCAAAGATATTTAATTTATAATGATATAAAAAAAAAGGAAACAGTACCAAATGTGCGCAGCAGGAAAGTGATTGATTTTGTTTTTTTCTTAATAAATCAGGAATCAATTCATCTCAAAGGGAATTCGTTTAATTTTTGTAAACAACTTTTAACTGCTTCCTACTGAAACTGTAGCAATTTTTACATAAACACCATAAAAACAACTGCCAGCTTAGTTACCCTCATTATTCCTTTGACCCTCATCTTGTCAAGAGTCCCCCTGTGACTGTTTTACGGCATGAAACTGAGTTTGGTTATTAAACATGATAGATGAAAGCAGAGGGATGAACAAAAAAAAATCTTCTGGAAAAGCCTGATGGCAAATAACCTTAGCTACCTCCACCAAGGAAGTTATGTTTTTATCTGCATTAGGTTTTTTTTGTTAGT